TTCCATGGACGTCTCTCTAGACGTACAGGTCTGTGTTTTCCTGAAGACCATCAAAAGAAGCAAAATGATGTCTAATGATCTGCCACTCCCACTCCAAGCAATCAATCAATCAATTAACGAATAGGCATCGAATTAAAATCGTCAGCAGATTATTAGGTACGTCATCTCCAATGCCATCCCAACAAGATAGATCTGTCCGATCGAGTACAATGATGTTTCTGCTTCAAAGACAATAAGACTTCTAGTCATTCTTTCTGACTGTGCATATTTGATCTAATTATGCTCTAATTGAAGGATGTAAATACATATTCCTCGATGTATATAAATACATTATAAATTTAAACTGTTTTCGATATTTGCTCTTCCATTTATGAGCCTATTTTCGAAGTTCATTGTATTATCTAATGAAATCATCTCTTGACTAAGTAAAGGTGTCTTCTTTCTTCTTGTCGATTAACTATTCTTAAGACTCTTGTAATGGCTTTAATTTATTTTCTAGTTATTTATATTTAAGTGTATTCGGTATTCTTAAACTTTTGATGTACTTCAATTTTTGCTGTAACCTGAAACTTTAAGGTCACTTCATTTGTAAATTTCATTCAGTCATTTCCTATGCTAATAACTAAGTTTTGCATATAATGTATCCTGTGAATATTTAACCTTAGGTCAAATACACGATACTTTCCTTCTTTATGCTTTTTATGTAATTTTTTAATGAGTTTAGGAAAATGTTTGTGTACATTTTCTGTTTATTTCTTTAGCAAAATATGGAAAAGAATTATTATTAATAATGTTTTCTTTCTTTTAGAACATTTCTCTCTCATATTGTTTTTCCAACATTTACTGCCCTCGAGTCATTTGAAAATATTCTGCATGCACATATCCTAATTGCCTTTTCGCATTAGTTTCTCTTTTTAGGGTTCAGCAGGGTTCAGTCATCAAATTTAAACATTGATGTTAAATGCGAATGGTATTTAAAAGTATATGGTATATATAAAAGTATATATATATATATATATCTGTCTATCATTTTTCATTTAAAAATTGATATCATACAATTGTGAATGCGCCTCACGTGACTTCTTAAAGTTTTTCATCTCTAAAAGATAGTTTTCAACTACTTAAGAATGTATTACTGACAATAGCTCGGTTATACTTTAATAGATGCTAGTTTTCTAAATCAAAAAAGTTTCGGAATGATCCACATATATAGATCCTTTCTGCATTGTCACAAAAAAAAAGAAACGACGATTCACATGGACATGACTTAGATGTTTTTTATAGGACCCTTTTAAAAACATGACTCGTCGGTATAGTTGGTAGTATATTGGCTAAAGCTTGATAGAAGTTTCAAACCATACAGAGTTTGAAATGGTTTACATAAACTAGACTCTCTCCGTAACCTTTCATAGGAGGCCAATATCTATAATTCTGATGATGCTGGTTAGCGATTCACATAACCAAATTGTGTCCAGCACAATAAATCTAAAAACAGAATGTATTGTGTGGCTATTGTATATCTCCTATATTTCTATATCTAAAAGTCTTCTAAGACTTGTATATTATTTCTTCATATATATATTGCGTCAAAAAAATTAGTAATCATGTGACTGTACCTATCAGATTTAATGGTTTGTGTCACATTCAGAAGAACACGTTTTGCATAGTTCAACGACACATTCAAACGGGTGATCAGTTCAGGTTGTACAAGCGATCAAGATATGGTATTTGGTTTTTTGATTAGAATTTTCTTTCTGAATCTGTTTTTCTGGTTTGCAGAATTTCTGTTATTGAGAAAATATCAAGATATATTAATGGAGGCAGTTTTAATATAACTGACAGTTACTTTCCTAATGTAAATATCGTAATTCTTTCAAGCTAGCTAAGTGAACTTGATAGGTGTATCATTGTCTCACTAACATGGGTAACGATACATAGATATCACAGGTGACTGTAGGGCACACGACCTTGGGAAGGCGGGCACGCTACTTGCTGATGTTTATTTCATGTATAGTGGTATCCCATTTGGAACGGCTGAGCTAAAAAGCCAGCTGATTAAAAACCAGGATAGTTAAAAATGTTTGTCAAATCTTAATATTTTCTTGGCTCAAACAGGACAATAAACATACCAAGTAGCTGCTTTAGCTAAAACCGAATGGGCTCAAGTCTACAACATCGGTACTCATAAATCACTGCTTATCTGGAAAACATGAAATAAACTTTTGATTATCTCATAATAGCTTTTGTCGTGCTTTTGTTTATAAAGAGAAAGAGGAAAACGTGTTTTCCACTGTATTTTATCAATGTCCATTTTTAGCCAGTAGAGGATTACAAATGTTTGACCTCCATTTTTTCACCGGGCTGATGGAGCTGTCACTCTTAAAAATTAGGGACACAGACTTAACAGGTTGATTCACCTTGACTTGACTGTGGGATTCATGCCTAACAGCGTTGTTTGTATGCTGACTCTTGTGGTCAGTTTGGGTGTCCTTCTTCTCTACGTATGAATAAAGCTAATGCATAGTATCACAACGGTCCATTATTGGAGAGCAAGTAGGCTTAAATATATAAGTTTTGACTTTTGAAAAGGGTAGTTAAAATAACTTCTGATGCGAAACAGACTGACTTCTGGTTTTAGATCAGATAGCATCAAGTAGGTAGTGAAATAATTTTGCATGTCGGTGTAGTTGCTTACCATAAATATGGACTATTCATATTTTATTACTAATAAAAAATAATATATTTAAATATATTTTCGCTTCAAATATAAATTAAAATTTATAGTTTAAAAAATTGTTTGAAATAATTATTTCGTAACCCTTGCTTTATCTATCGCAGGCTATGCACCTCGAAATTTTTAAGTTCATATTAAAATTTTATGAAGCAATATTTGTGATTAGTTGTAAACTTAAAATCAACACATTAATTAAAATTAAATAATATAAAAATATACATTCCATAAGTCCTATTTCGAAGCTGCAATAAAATATTTTGTATGTCTTAAATCAATATTTCATATTTAAAGGGTGTGAAGGTGCTTTATATGACATCCTGGATGAAGTAGCAAATGCTTGAATGGATTACAGGGGTTTTGTTTTTCGGCTAAATTTTATTATGAATTAAATTTTATGAAAAGTAAATATTTATTTATTTTTTCTAGTCATCATTGTACTTATGGTTAAAAATATTAAAAAAAAAATATTTAAATAGAGATTTTTTATTTGGTTATTCAAAGTATTATTCAGAATTCGCTTTCCAGTAAATTAATATTGTTTGGAATGTTCAATAACCTCAATAAGTTCCCTCTAGATTATTCCAAATATTTAGTTTTCAAGAAACTGTAGAATTCGTTCAACATAGTTAATTATTCTACAGTATGTTTACACTATTGAAGTTAAGTTGATTAATTTGCAGCAATATATTTCACTTTTCATACAAAATCCATACAAATCTATACAAATAAGGTTCAATAACTGTTAGTTTAAAGGTGGGTTTTATCTATTTGCTATGGTTTCTTAGATTAATTTTAGTAAAGTTAATAGCGTGTAATATTCAAAGGGATATTTGTAAGTTAGTTCCAGTAAAAAAAAAATTATTGTTCAAAAATATACCAACAAACGGCGGTTACTATTTATATCACCTGATACAATCACACAAAATCTGAATCTAAAAGACAACAATTCTGACATTTACGAGTATTAATGCACAAATCTATTTTGATTAAAATGACGATGTTACGTCGTAAAAATGGATTCATCAGCTCGACAAAAAATTTAATTGAAATTTTAATTCTCATTCCTCACTCACAAATGTCAAATTATTTAAAAGTAACAACAACTCTGAATTTGCTGTGACCATGACTGTCTGCATGACATAGACCTTAATTAAAATTTGATGCAATATTTTTTCAATTTAATGTAGAACTTTTTAATGAAATTTAGTTTAACAAGTAAGCGTTGAGAGAATTAAATAATTATGTATTCAATATAAAAACATCATTTTCATTTATTTTATATTTTGATGGAATAAGTTTGCTTTTTGTCTGAGTAGAAAATCAAAATTATAAAATATGGTTAAAGCTAAGAATAAGAAATTATCTACTACAACGACTAAGAAGCGTAAGACTCATAAAATTGCAGCAATATCAAGGATGATTAAGAGTAGTCGTCCAAAATATGCATTTAAAAGTAAATTAAAAAAAAATCAGAATTTGAATGGTACTGGTGTAAAAACCGTTAAAAATGTCACAGCTAAGGATCAAGCGGCTTCATCTGGGGGCCTGCTTACAAATATCTACAATAGAATAAGTGGTTTCATTCAAAATGTGATATTAGATGAAGAACCATTAGATGACTCTAAAAATAATATATGTGCCGATGCCGAGAAGAGTAATGATGAGAAAGACTTTAACAAGGAAGATTCTTCAGTTGTTGATTGTCGGGACAAAAAGAATAAGCAGGAAAAGAAGTCCCGTTCTGTTAAGCGCAGTACAAAGAAAAGTGTGAATATGAAGTACAAGTCAGCGGTTAGGATTGCCAAAAAGAGAGGTTCCAAAAATGAAACCCTGAATGTTAATGAAGCAGAAGGTGGAACGGATGAGTGTGCTTGCCAACCGAAATCGGAAAAATCGAAAAAATCAAAAGGAAAACGTGGATTAAAAGAAGAGCCATCCAAATCATTAGTTGGGAAGAAAATGAAGGCTACAAAAAAGCAAGTAATGGTAGCAGATAGCCTGAAGATAACTTTGCGATCAGGCAAAACTTACTAAAAACTTGTGAAGGACGGTACGGACGGACGTTGTTTGGGACGGACTAAATCTCTGTGTAAAAAAATTAGGAAAAAATTTAAAAAAAAAACCCTGCGAAATATTTTATTTATTTTACAAACATAAAATTTTGTGTAATTTGACATAAATTTTTTTCTGTTTTTTTTTTTACTTTTTCAAAACAAAAATTTAAATTAAAATTTGGAAGGAAATTTTCTAAAATGTTAATTTTTCTAAATTAGTAGAGCTTGCATTTATAAAGTTGAGATTAATAAGTTACCGATATAATGAATTTTTTTTAAAAACCAAATTATTAACGATTCACCTTCATAATCAGTAGATAGTTTAAATCATTTAAACTACATAAATTGCTTAATATAATAACAGTGATTTGCTGAATAGTATATACTGATATCTTTCTATAATTTTCTTCAATTTCATTTTGGATTCTCTGTAATAACAGTGGGGTATCCTCGCTATTGGTAGCCAATGGATTGAGAGGAGGTAATTTCTTTTTACATAATTTCATAATCGACATCGATCATATGGACTTTCAATTTAAAGCGATATAAGAATCCTGTTCAACTAAGTAAAACCAATTTAATAATAATTACAGGAATACTGACAGGTAACTGTAGTTTAAACTTTCACCTTAAAAAACTACAAATTCACTCCAATAAAATTCATACGTTTTGTAGGGAAGAGAATGAGACCTCAAAACAGTCTACCCGGCACTAAGCCATAGCGTGTAGGTGTGCATCTCATATTGGAAAATAAAGCTCTGTTATGTAAGTTCAGTACTACAATTTTTAGGGAAAATCGAATATAGAAAAATATTTATAAGAATATGAAGAGAGTACAATAGATCTATAGATCTTTGATAACAGAGGATTAAATGTAATACATGGAACTCGACACAAATTTTCTTAAAAATATCAGTTTATTGAAGGAACGTTATCTACATGATCGTTTGAAATAACAGTGGGTTAAATGTTATATATTATAAAGTACCACACACTTAACAAATACTCAAACTTTCTTTAAAACTTATTATTCCGGTAAGGACACATTATCAATGCTTTAAATGCGGAGTATTTTAAAATGGGCTACTATCTGAACATTTTTTTAAAAAGTCTTAGAAATTGAGTGCGTTATCTGATATCGCTAAGTGGCGCGTTGTCAAATTCCTTGAACGCTGACGAAATAGTTCATGAGAGGTTAAAGCTAATGCAGAATAACATCGTGGTAAGTTGTATTGTATTTCAATGCCGCTAATGAGCAATAGAAATCTTTTTCTTTATTGTAGTCAATCCTACAATTTATAAAAGTACAGTAAATAAGTCTTCAATATATACTTCAGGAGAGATAGAGATAGATACTGCATCTACATTAGTGCACAAGATGCATATACCATCAGTATAGAGCGACTATATGTAGTTCTGTTTTTGGAATATCAGCGGTATTAATAAATTGATGTGAAGGAGAAAGTATAGAATCTTGTGAGAGTACAGTTTCTATGATTCTGATAGTGGAAATATGACTTTTAATTATAACTTGTAAATCACAATTCGTTAAAAAGCTTCCAAGAATACAGGAATAGTTTCCTAAACTTTTGATGAAATCTAATTAAAGAAAGCTTTTTATATATCAAAGTTAGATAAATAGATTTTGTATGACGTAAAGAAGTAGTACTTATAACACATTCCAAGTTTAATGCAATAAAACACCTTGCCTTGTGTTCTCGTTCTCGTTTTTCTCACTTAACAAAATGTATATAAACAAAAGTTCCTTGGTACATTAGGACGAATTACATCCTCAGGGACCCCAAGATTGATCCCATCAAAAAATACATAAAGGATAGAGCCCTGAAATTATTTGCGAAATCTGACAGACTTACTAACACCGCGTTATCAAATCTCAGAATGGTTGCAGGCTCCTCGGGGAGATATGCAGATCTGAGGTCAATTATTGCTTAGTCTGATGAAGTGATAAACAATAATCCAGTCAAGGCGCAAAGAGGGGTTTTGTAGAAACCTCGCAGTTAATAGAGAGTAAAAGTGCTCAGGTGCACTGACTCAACTCAACTAGCCTCAACATATATATATAAAAGATAATGGACTGAACAAATAAGCAGTACTTTAAAACTACTTAACTGGTATGATATCGTTTTATACATTGTCTGTAAATTAATCTTTTCTAATTGAAATGGGTTCCTTACTAGCTTGAATAGTAGTATTGGATTATATATATATGGTGGGACGTTGGAACAGCGCACTGTCCAGCAAGTGGCCTCACTGAGGTAACGGATAAGTCAAAGTAGACCACGAAATAACTTGGGTCCTTTTTCGTCCTTCGATTCTCGGATGTCGCTATTGAGTTAAAGCTGGTGAGGCTTCAGTTCGCATTACTACATCTTTTCTTAATGCAAGCAGCTCATTTAGCTTGAGGTTTCCTGTGAAGTCATCACCAACTCAATGGTGTCCCAAGACAGTCTTCCTCCTACTTGTAGTATTGAATTAGTCGAAAGTATTAGAATTTTTTATTTTAACCAAGGCAAAGTTTTTTTTATATATTTGGAAAAAATTAATTCCGTACTGGATTTTGGAATAGAATTGAGAAAAAATCTGCAGAACAGAATGAAAATGTCACGAGTGCAACTCACAACCTTCAAATGCCTCAAAATAGAAGAAATAGGAGGACATAAAAATACTTTCCACTGCACAACGATCAAACTTTATGTAGAGCATGGACATCAATGTAGTAGGAAAGGACATAGTGTCCACATGTTTCTAAGCAAACATTGCTGCCGTTGCGCAGGATTACAAAATGGCGGAGGACGAAGGTAAACAATAATAAACAACGAATGAATCACAACAAATTACCAACGACGAAACAAAAACATGATAACACATTTTAATGGCTGCCAGCAGCGAAAGAGCACAGGAACAACAAATCGTAATGAAAACCCTTAAAGCATTTGAAGGAAAAAGTAATGGAAAACGAGATTAAAAAAAATATCCAGTAAAAAATACGTGCAAACCACAAAATTGCGTTAAAAACTTAATAGCAACATGCAAAACCTCGTTAAAGCGCTCATGTTGCATGTGTGCAGAGGAAGTGCTCGGATATCAATGGATGTATGGTATGTGTTGATGTATGAGAGAATATATGTGGTCTCTGTGTGTATGTGTGCGGGTAGTCGGTGGTATTATTTGCATCCAAGGTATCAAAAAAAAAAAAAACGGAAAAAATTCGACATTTTTATGCGATTTCAAAAACATTTCAACCTTGAGCTTTACCTTCACCACAAAAAAGTCATTAATTCAAAACTCTTTTTGACAGCGCGAGAGTTCTGTACGTTCTGTACGCACCGGAGGGTCAGGTCAGGTAACAAGTGGTTCCTTTCACATGGTTCCAGTTCCCTCGTAAATCATTAAAATGAAAAACGTGTACTTTTTTAATTTAATTAAACGAATGAGAGGCAAGAAAATGGCGAGTGCGCGGTTGACGCATTTTAGCAATTTACGTGTTGTCAAGAGAAATCCAAATCAAACATAACATTCCGCCCACGGCTTGAATACCACAAAGCGCACTTCCAACATTTTGACTGACTTAAAATGCCAAAATTTACCCGAAAATGCTGATTTTTTGTTTTGATGAATTAATTTCAAAGTTACCATTTGGCTTTTGTTTCTTAATTTTGAAATTACAGTATAAATTTTTATAAATTTTGCTAATATAAAATTACAAAATGGATGAATATCTCCATGAGTTGACATTTACCTTGAAAGTGAAAAATATTGGATATATGGAAACGACAGTAAAGATTAGATTAGAATGACATCCTTTATTAACTGTGATCAATGAAAGAAGAGATTGGAATGAGTACCTTTACTTACTATGATGTTGTCATAGTCCCTGTGGTCATGATATTGTTCTGTTTAATGAGAGAAAGAGATGCAAAGAAATTATGTTGGAAGTTCCAAAATATTCTTGACAAGGTGGCAGCACATAAAATACAAACTCTGTCGAAACCAAAAAAAAAGAATAGAATTAAATCCGAGTGGATGTATTTTTTTGTATATTAATTAATGTGGTCATTTTTGTTAATTTTATAATTTATAATATATAAAGTCAACAGTATATTAAGATCTTTTGAACCTCCTTTAATTTTTTTATTTGCTGAATTCAACATCTCTAATCTCAGGATCTTTTAAATTCCTGAACATTGCTTTCTTACAGTTCTTCCATTTGTTATATTCGACAGCTATCAAGTTATTTTGAACCCCAGGGACTTTCTTTTTTTTTTATTTGTTTAATTTGTTAATATTATAGTCGAGTCTAGAATTAATAAATTTTCCTATACACTTAAATTTTATTGCACAGCTTCTGCGAAGAAGACGATATATAAAGTTATATTTTAATATGAACAATTCATAGTAAAAATGGCTATTCATTTACTGATTCCGTAAAGTACGTCATAGAGAACTATTATTCAAAATAACACTTGTTTGGTTAATTGTTTGGCATTTTACATAATATAAAAACTTTTCACAGATTCTTGGCCTTTAATTTTAATAATTCTGTTATTGGAACAACATTACGTGTTCAAGCACAATAGTTTCCCACTCTTTTACATTACAATATAAATTGTTTAGCAACCGCTGAACATATTTAAATTGTGAAAACTTTCCATAGATTTTGTTGGTTCTGAACCTTGTTATTCAAGTAACTTTGCATATTCAAAAACAATTTCTCTCTTCAATTCTCTACTATGTATAGTGCTGGCCACAGTCGCTTAGTTAATTTTATCTAGTGGTAGCTTTTATTCCATTTAACTTCTTATCATTCTATGAAATTATTTTAAATTGTTCAATTATACTGTATTATATATTATAGAAAGATGGACTCGGCTTTATCAGAAAGATGGACTGAGCTTCATCAGAAAGATGGACTGGAATATACTTTAAAATGTGCTTCTAGTTGTTGTTGTTGCGATTTGAGTTAGTATTATTGCGCAATTTTACTCTTTTGTGGCTGGGGGGCTTAACCCTGCCCTACACTAAGCTTTAACTATACTAGAATTATTATCTAAATAATATCTAATTAATTATTTAATACAATTCATTTGATTTGAAAGAATTCTTTAAAAGGTGCATTATAAAATAACTGAGCCTAGACTGAAAAATACACCCAGCTGTTTAATTTAACTTTAATCTGCCTCAAAATGATTTTTCTATATCTCTGTACGCAGAACTCATCTAAAGCTCTTATAGTCTTAAACATTCTCAGAAACACTGTATGTATATTTCGTATTGCAAAGATCTCTATTTTTTTTTTTTGACAAATATAGGGTTATACTCGAATATTTCCAAGT